TGATTCCCAGAGGAAGAAAACGTAGGAATGGTAACGATGGAAAATATTTATCACAAATCCAGAGTAGTTAAAGATACATGCTATTCTTTGTCTCCTGCAGAAAAAAAATCAAAACAACAAATTATCTACCAAATTCAAATAAACCGAACTTACTTCGCTTCATCACCGAATAACCTAGTTTCCAGTCACGCTTTCTCTGATTCATACATGGAAGATGGAGAACAAAAGTTAAAACAATTCATTGTGCAAACTTATACGGGCGCAACCATGCAATTGCAGTCAGATAATATGTGAAGTTACTGCATAGCTTTTCCTACATGGGAGATGAAGACTAAATATTAAAACAACTGATACTGCAAGCTTATATGGACGAAACTGTAGTCAGATAGAGCCATGGAAACTCACTGCATAAATCAAGATAAACAGTTATAATACATGGCATGCCAGTAATAGTTTGCGTGAATATCCTTTTTTTTTCGAGAATGACGGGGGGCGAAAGCCCCACCCGTTGTTATATTACCCGAAAGCGACTTAGCGTCATACAGTGTTTTCCATCGAGGAGATAAAAAACATCAAGATAGCAGGCAAAAAAACAGAAAAAGAGAGAGGAAGACTAGGTGGCTGAGAAAAGGAAGGAGCGAAACAGGAGGAGCTGCTCCCTCGGTCCAGTCTCAAAGCGCTTGGACCACAGAAGCGTATCGTCGGCTGCTCGCCGGAGGACGTCGCAAGTCCCGCATATGATGGAGTTGAAGACCACATCGTTCCTGGCTTTCCACACGCTCCACATCAGGATGTAGAGGCCATCTTTCCAGGCAGCAGCATCAATTTGCAGCGAGGGTTGAGTAGAGAGAATTTCACTAACGGAGTAGAAGGTGCCCAGGCCAAGCCTAGCCCAGACCAGAGCCACACGAGGACATGCAGCGAAGAGGTGGTCCGCCGTTTCCTCCGCCTGGCAGGAGGCACATGTTGGAGAAGAGGCGCAGTTTTTTGGCGTACAAGTTAGCCCGAGTGCTAAGCCGATTGCCGACCAGTAGCCTCGCGAAAATCTTGATTTTGCTAGGGAGCCTGGAGCCCCAGATGTCGATGGAGTCCTGGTCGAGCACGCCGTGAGGCGACAGAACACGAAAAGCAGCTCGGGAGCTGAAGGTAAGGTCACCTCCCCACGCCATGAAGCGATGATCATGCACACCCAACAGATGAACATCGCGCAAGAGTGCATGCACGACACTGAGCTGACCGGCCGCCACTGCGGAGAGCCTCGGCTGGAGCGCGAGGCCGCCCTAGATAACTGCAGCGACCGAGGCGTTGGGCCGCGTCGAGTGGGAGAAGAGCGCCTCGAAGGTGAAGCAGAGCGCGCCGCCTGGGAGCCACCGATCCTGCCAGAAGGAGGTGGTGCGCCCGTCTCCAAGCTGCACCCGAGTGATGGATCGGTAGGTCGGGAGCGCCGCCTGCATGATCGTCTGGAGGAACGAGGGCGCCGAGCAGGGGTCCCCAACGTCACCCCTGACGTTACGGAGGAACCAAAGCTTCCAAGGCGGGGACCCAGGCCGGTGAAGAGCGTCGACGAAGTTGAGAAGAAGGCGCATGTTTTGCCGCCGGAGGTCGCGAATGCCAAGTCCGCCTTCCTGCACATCAACACACACTTTGTCCCAAGCAATTAAACAGCGAGCACCAGAGCAAGTATCCTTGCCGGTCCAAAAGAAAGCACGACATCGACGATCAATCTGCTCAAGCACTCCAGGGGGTAGCATAAAGGAACATATAATAGGTGCCAAGGTTATTAAGTACGGCATTACAGAGAACAAGCCTACCGCCCGAGGAAAGGAGAAGAGCGCGCCACCCGGACAGATACTTATCAAAGGAGTTGATGAGGGGGTCATAGGCAGAGATGGGGAGCTTTAGAGGGGAGAGGGGGAGACCAAGGTAGGGTTGAGGGAAGGTGGATATGGGGCATCCCAGGATAGCGGCCATCTGAGCAGACAGCTCGGAGGAGCAGTGCATGGGGACAAATCCAGATTTATGGAAGTTAATGGTGAGCCCGGTCGCCAAGGCAAAAGCATCGAGGATGTTTTTAAGATAAGTAACGGAAGGGAGGTCGGCACGACAAAGGATTAAAGTATCATCTTCGTATTGCAAGACGGGGCAAGGGAGGGAGGGATCGATTGGGTGCTGCAGCCGGCCGGCGGCGCTTGCAGCCTGCGTCATGCGTTGAAGAACGTCCGCAACAATAATAAAGAGGTAAGGGGATAGGGCGTCACCTTGGCGAAGGCCGTTGCGGCAAAGGATCCAGTCACCTGGGACATTGTTGAGAAGCACCGAGGTGTGGCCAGTAGAAAGGATAGAGTGGATCCAGCCACACCAACGGTTGTCGAAACCCCGAGCAGACAAAATCATGAGAAGGCTCAACCAATTAACGGAGTCAAAGGCTTTGCGAAAGTCGATCTTAAAGATCACAGTAGGAGCCTTGCGCAAATGGCAGGCTCGGAGAAGGTCGGCGGCGTAAACGATGTTCTCAGAGATACGCCGCCCAGGGAGGAATCCCGTCTGGTCAGGGTCCACCATAGAGTGGATGAGTCGCTGAAGGCGGGAGCAGAGGGCCCTAGTGATGGCTTTCATGATGCAATTCTGAAGCGAGATAGGCCGAAAATCAGAGGGGGAGCGAGCCGCCTCTGATTTAGGCAAGAGAACTAAAAAGGCGCGGTTGATTCTGGAGAGATCAATAGTGCTGGCGTAGAAGTCATCGAACACCGCCTGGACGTCGGAGGAGATCAAGTCCCAGAAAGAGACATAGAAGGATGGGCCAAAACCGTCGGGCCCGGGGCTAGAAAGGCGGTTCATTTCAAAAAAAGCTGTCCGAACCTCGTCCGCGGAGAAGGGTCCTGACAAAGAGTCAGGAAGGGGAGCGACGCCAGGGTAAAGATCAGATAAAGAGAACGTCCAGTCACAGTGATGCGCAGTGCCTAGGAGATCTTTATAATAATCCCGGAGGATAGCCGCTTTATCCGCGTGAGAGGTGAATTCCTGCCCCTCGAAGGAGAGGACCGGGATGCAGTTCCTGCGAAAACGGGCCGAGGCAGAAGCATGAAAAAACCCAGTGGTCTGTCATGCAGGTACCATGGCAGAAACTCTTCAGCATGCTCAGAAGCTGGAAATGAGTATGTGTGGCCTCCAAGATGCCACTGATGATTCATTTTCTTTCTTTGGGCCTGAAGATGTTGGAGATGTCGAGAAGTACCAATCAAGAGAAAGACATCACATGGATTGTTCAGAACACTGGAAGAGTGGAGGCTCCCAGAAAATATTGATGATATCACCCATCTTGCTGAGTTCGGATCATGCGATGTACTGAAAACTGAGCTGTAGAACTAGTTCCAGCCAGCTGCTACTAGCAGTACAATTTTTCATTACCGATGCCATTAAGGATTACCAAAATCTTGCTTTTGTAGCCAGAGACCCTTGTACATATTGTAACTCTTCTTTTAATATAAGTATGTGAGGCTTTTGCCTATTTGTTTCAAAATAAATAAATAAATAAATAATGGCACTTCAAAGCCACATAAGGAGAAGTCATCATGTCAGAAGTAAGTAGTTAGTTCTGTAATGAAGCAAGTGATTACTTCGAAGTAGGTTGATATGTGTCCCTAGAAAATTATGCATCCTTACAATCAGCAGTAAGTAGTTAGTTTTGTAAATTAGCCAAGTGATTGCTTCAAAGTAAGGCCAATATATGTATCCCAAGAAAAATATACATCCTCACATAATTCACAAGAGCAGTTACCTGGCATGCTAGTGCTGACTACATTTCAGTTCAGTCTGTTGTCTAGTTGCTGGCACCACTGACACTGAAGACCCTTCTTGTCATGCAGGTTCTTTTCATAAAAACCTTGCTTGACTCGTGAAACACAACATATTAATGCAATATCAATATGTGCAACCCTGCAAAAATAAACTAAGTCGCTGCTATATTAATCTTCAATTTCTTTCAATGTACTGGTTATGCAATACAGTATAATATTTCCTGCATACCGCAAATAGCTTACTAAAGCAGTATTACCTTTGCAGTTGGCAGAGGAAACTGCATGTGGTCAATGACTCGGCAACAATGCAAGAAGTAAAGGAATCACTGTGCAACACCCCGGTGCGGCAGGACATGGAAGGAAAAGATTATCCAGGACAGTATCCATGGCTTGGACGTTATCCATGCCTTGAACAAGGATATTTGTAGCCATTTGTTGGGATCTCTTGCGAGCACCATCGAGCATGAAGGTATTCGAGAAGTGCTGCAGTATGCCTTACATCTGTTGGCTCAATGATTGGTGGCTCATCATAGTGGTCATGGCCTGCTTGACCAGCACCACCGTATCAGCAACATTTTCACAACTGCTCGATAGGATTGCACTATTAAGAGAAGCCTTACTAAGAGTATATTGTTCAGTACCTCTCTTAGTCTGCCATGTCATGTAATGAAATAACATCAGAAGGAATGTCCAGCAGAGAAAGCTTAATGATTGTCTTTTGATTAAAGTCTGAATTGCTAGCCGAAATGGAAACACAATATACTCAGAGTTAGTACAAAGCTGAGACACTTATTTTGGGACGGAGGGAGTATTATGCAGCATCCCAATCTGACATTTTTAGCCATAAATATAAGTAGGAAAAGGCTCCAAGATGATGATTCAGGCTCGAACTAGTATTTCCCTTTTTATTCTTGAGAATGCAAGCTCTACTGCAATTTGAGAACTTCATAATCATATCTTAGCATCCTAAACCCTTTCAAAATACAAATTTATAATTTTACAGAATGGCAGACTAGCTGGTTTGAATTTGAACTCCATATGACAGTAGTAACAATATACTCCTTGTTCTTATAGACTGAAGATAAAACCACTGAAGAACAGCTACAAGCATGTTTTAAGCATAACTCAAACTTCCTAGTGTACAACAATAGCCAATTCAAGAACATTGCCTTGTTCATGTGAATGAGCGGAGAACAGGAGATCTCATCTGCGGCCCAGAAATTCAGCGACGACGCCGACCTGCGCTTCCGCCTGGGCGCATGTCGGCCGGAAGAGGTGGAAGCCGTGACCCTGGCCATCCGCCTCCCAGATTTCCACCTCGCCTTGCCACCCACTCCCAATCAATTTCTCAGGGTACAGCCTTCCCCTTCCCCTCATGGCGTCCTTGCCCCCAACGCATACCAGAGCGCGCTTGCACCCGGGCTGGGCGCTCTCTCCGCCATCGGGTTGATCCACGGGTCGTCGCACCCACTGGTCCCCGGGCAGACCACCGGCCAAAGCCGCACCAGCTCGTCGAGCAACGCCATGCCCATCTCGTCCGACTCGGAGCTGTCGCCCCCTAAGAAGTAGGGATGGATCAGCACGAGCGAGCTCACCTCCACGCCGTGGCCCAGCTCCTCGGCGCCAGCACGCATTGCGGCGTGGTGCGCGATGTTGGCGCCGGCGCTCTCGCCGCCGACGTGGACGCGCCCGAAGTCCGCGTGGTTGGTCAGCCAGGGCTCCGCGCCCTGGCCGCCCGCGTGCGCGGCCACCCACTGGAGCGCCGCCCAGGCGTCCCCGTAGAGCGCGGGGACGGGGTGCTCCGGCGCGAGGCGGTACTCCACCGACACGACGATCGCGCCGGCCCGCGCGGCGAGCTGGTTGGCGTGGCCGTGCGCGGCGGCGTCGAACGCCGAGCCGAGGCAGAAGGCACCACCATGGAAGAATACGAGGACGGGGAGCTTGCCCTGCTGGCCGCCGGCGGGGGCAGGCGGGAGGTAGACTCTCGCCGACACGCCGGCTCCCGGGAGGATGGTGATGTCCTTTGCGGAGACGCCGGTGGCCGCATCGGTGCAGGGCGGGGCGAAGTCGATCCGCAGGAAGCGCTCGACGCGGCCGCTCTTGTAGACGCGAATGAAGCCGGGGGCGTCGTGGATGACCTCGTCGCCGCCGGCGCCCGTGTCGGACATGGCGTGGGCAGATCGGGGGGAGGGGGTGAAGGAATTCGGATGTCCACGGAGTAGGTGAGAGATCAGTGAACTGCTGGGGTCCTTTGGTTGTGTCTGCCTGGTTCAGGCCATGGATCTGGAAGATCTACTATTATCTGACCGTGGGGCGATGAGCTGGTGACCGGCAGCGCGGCGGCGGGTGCCGCAGCCGCGGCGGCGCCCGCGCATCAGTGAGGCTGCGAGGGATGCAAATCATAATGTAGAAGAATTGGATGGTTCCAGTGGAAAATAGCTTTTAGAAAGAAAAAAATCACCGGCTACAACTTCAAATAGTAACTATGCATTCCTGCGGAATCACATATTTGTTTTTATGCAAACACTCATACATATGCACATACACTAATCCCTATAAATACATGCATACTCTATTCTTATAAACAGTTTCGAAAGACTTAGCTGTCACATCATCTTGAGATAAATACATCACAGGCTCTCGATAGAAACGTCTCCTCCCACTGAACGTACATCGACGAAAGGTCTGAAATAAATTCAAAAAATACAATCACTAATGCCAAGTCTGGAACTTAAACTCTAATAGGTTGGTTTTACCATATAAAAACCTAACCATTTGAGCTTTATTTGGATCGTATAAACATATAAACACATGGGCATTAGTCTCGGGGCAAAATGGATTAGGAAAATTCTCAAAATGAACGGGAACTCTAGAGCTTATATGAATATAATTCATGCATGGTACATGAACGGCACGCACGTTTTTTCAAGCTCGTCCCACAAGAGTACTCATTTCTAGAACAACCTCCAAAAGATCAAACACATTTTCAAAGATGGTGAGACGCACAAATTTGAATTTGTAGAAGGTACTTCGTTTTAATCCGCTTGATGGAGCGGCCAAGCCTTCCCACAAGGATATATCCCCCCCCCCCTCCCCCTTTTTTTGTTGTGTATACCTTGAACTTGTCAAGGTTAATAATTCATGCATGATGTATTCTAGAAGATATTTTGCCAAGCCGAGGTTTGGTCCTCTTGCATTTCTAGATTTGTGATTCTTTTTATTTTTGTGGGTGTAGATTTGTG